TATGCAAATATATTTCTAATTATGTATGCTATTCATGCAGAAAATTACTTAAAAGCACGGCTAAGAACGTACAACATTGTGCATACATTTAAAAATCGCGTTATTGTTGTAAAGATTTTATGGACATAAGTAATAAAAATTTTCAAGCAACCTTGACTAGAAATTTACAAAAGAAATATTTGTGAATAAACATTTTTTGTTTTCAAATGTCTTTCTTTTTTGCATATTTAGCATATTAGTTTTTTTTTTTTTTTTTTTAAATGTAACTTTTCAAATAAATTATTTAAAATATAATAACACTAAAATGCTTGAGTTGATGTATAATAATATGACTAGATCAAGTAATAGAGAAAAATAGTGTTGTGTGTTTTGAATTCGAAAAACATACCTACTGCAGTGAGTGTAGGAATTTTGTCAAATGTTCCTGAAGGATAGATGTATGCACCGCAGTCCACATAAATTACATGTACATTTTGATCAGTGTGAGGGTCGTCTAAGCGATAATTTACTTCTCGGTTTGTCAAACGTACGATAAAGAATTCGAAATTTTATGGGGAAGAACGGAATCGAAAAAGTTTCTTTACTCTCCCGATCAGTTTCTGCTTAACATGTTCGCGGACATAAGTGCTATAGAATTCCTTTTCATTGCGATGCAAAATGCAATTGCATTTCAATTTTGAATTATTTTTCATTTAATTCTGTATAATCCTGGGGTTTTTAATTACTATGCTTGTCGAAGTAGTAACTGATTGTTTAGGTTTTTCCAAACTGTTTGTACTTAGTAGGACTTGACATCTTTGTTTGACACCCTTTATTATACCTATCCAAGCTTGTCTGTCCATCTGTGCGTCTGATGTCTCCTCAAGTGCTCTTGTGTTCAACCTATAGGTCGAAATTTTCGACATATATTAATGAAATTTACCACAATGTCCTAATGAGCACAGTACTCTCCTCTAACTAGTACGGTGTGGTCTAAAATGTATAATAAAATACTTATCGGATTACTTCAACACATGAAAAAAAAACATGAGACGTTGCGGCAAATTTACACGCTCGCATGAGGATGGGGACGCAGAAACTTTCCCTGCCAAAAGTGTGCGGCCCAACTAATTTACGGGATTTCGTTTTAGGTAATGCGACTTCCAAAATGCTTCCCGTCCTGATCAGCTAATTATCACCGATATTATTTATGCATTTATCTACTTATTCTTTCTTGATTCCAATGTGCATTCAATCGAATCAAGCAATACTTCAAGAGTAAAAGCCTAAACCTATGACAGTAGAGAACGGAAGCGAAATTCAAACTAAATAGTTCAAGTTTCGAAGTTCAATCCTTCCAATATTTTTTAAGCTTAAGGTGCTAACAAGCGAACATGGGGCCAAGTAGCTATATATAATAAATAACTTGTACTCAGTATGGTCAACATAGTGGATACTCAAGCCCACGAATGCCACGACTGCCGATTTGGCAGTCGCGAGATTTATTTCCTCATCTTTGCGGTATCGATAAGACGCAGCTTCTGATTGACTCATGGCAACGGAGATCGGATGTAGCTTTCAACTTTGACACATTGACTGTTCGGTAACATTGCCTTAAAGGTGCCTTTGATTATTTCATTTTTGAAATTTATTTGATTTACTCCACGGATTGCTTTGTAGTTCTCATAAATTACGTATAGTTTTACAATACGGCATCATTTACACAATATATGGCTATCACTCTTTAAAAGTAATGTAAAAACGTTTAAATAAATTAACAAGCGTTATAAGCATAAGGAAGAAGGACGTCTTTGATATTTGTTACTTACTCCCCATAATATTATAGAGTGATTTAGGAAATTTGTATTTTTTGGTTTCTTTTTTCAAATTAATTTTTTTCTTTTTTACAATGCTAACTGTATGGAACCGCTCTCCACTTCCTTTTTGTCTTTATTTTTTGTTTGTTTTGCTTTGCTTTTAATGTCAAAAAAATATTTTCCTAGTTCTTCTGTCAAATTCATTCTCCATTCGTCCTATAAATATTCAAAAGATAAGAATTGTTATACACATTTGCATTAAAAAATGTCAGCTGAACAAGTTCTCGCCGCCTCCAATTCTACAGAAGGTGCTATCGTTGCTGCTAGGACATCAAACTACGAAGGTTTTGCAATATCGTTATGGGGAAGATTTCCAGTGTTAGTATTCTTGAACCACGTTGTTCACGGGAGATCCGTTCCTGTCGGAAAAATTACGATGGAGCGTCCTCTCTGTGGAACGTATTTTTGCAACTTCTGGTTTCGTTACGAGATAGTTTGCGAGGAGAATCCATTTGTGTCAACATCGGAAAAGTGGGGAGTGAATGAAGAAATTGATAAAAGGTATTGGGGAAAATTTAAGGCTTTCAAAGAATATGTAAATACGTTCAATTTGGCCGAATTTGATTATACGGCGTTAGCTAAGAGCAATTATGTGTTTATGCGCTGGCAAAGAGATGCTCTAATTAACCATATGGCAGACTTGGAGAATTTCCCGTTTAGTCGTTTCTATTATGTGTGCTTAACGAAAACTACGGGTGACATAGAAGCATATTATTATGACGAAAACTCAGCGCTGCATCATACGATTGATGTAAAACTCATATCATAAAGCGCAATCAATTGAGTTCACCCTGGGGATTGGAAATTTTCAAATTCAAATAACTATTCTAAAACTTCTATTGATTGTTAAAAGATTTTCCGTATCTTATAAGCAATTTTAGACTTCATCCTTGGTTTGACAACTTAGTTCCTCTCTGAGAAAATTTAAATAAAAAAATTAACCAATAGCTCCTCTGGTTTTTCTTACTTTCAAATTATTGTGTGAATTCACACAAATACACATATGTATATGAAAAAGAAAAATATTTGCAAGGATTCCAAGTGTATGTAAGAAGGACAGCATTGTAATCATTCCACCTTGCTTTGAACGCATTTACCATACTGCCTACTACTGTATCTGGAACAACGTCGAGCATTTTCAGTTAATGTCGATTTTGTTGAATAGCACACCATATTCGAATACACGGAGTGAGTGCTCTTTGACTATAACGTAATTTAATTTGTCA